CATAGGCAAATGGCGGTTTATAAAGGTAAAGGGGAAACCCCATGTTAGGATGAGGTGTTTAATTAGGAGTGTTAATTAGGTGAGCCAAAGGGGGCTTCTGGTTGCTGGACTTTGGTAACCTCAGGAGGAGGAAGTGGCCAAATGAGGGACTAGACCTTGGTGGCTAGCTTTAGGAATGTAATCTAACTGTTTTTAGCAAGGCAGAGGGGATGGGGAGAAGGGCAAGGCCTGCCAGAGCCACATGATGGAATGGGCTATGTCCCTTCAGTCACTGTAGGTATTGGAGTGTTACCAATTTACTCTGAATGGTCATCTGACTAGAGAGAAAGAACATTACAGAGGACTTCCAATTTGAGGACTTTCAATGCATTAGACAAGCTATTTTCTGTTCTGTGTTTTATTGGAGGACTTTTACAGTCTCTACTGAAACAATACTTCCTCGGCATACCAGGGACTAGGCTCTGGTAGAGGACACCCACTGATCTGCCTGGAAACTGGAACATCATGATGGTCAGTGTAAGGAAGAGGGTTAGCTGGTCCGGGTGGGAAGTCTCTGTAGGGAGCAGTCTCGGGCTGGAAACATGCAGCAGGAGGAAGCTGTGGTTGATAGTTTCTACAGAACACTGCTAAATCATGTGTAAACATACATATTTGGACCAGAAGAGGCTTTGCCATCCCTCTGGGCCTATTCTAGGGAAGATTTTGCTTTTTCCTGGCCTGTAGAATGCCACATGAACCTGGGTGCTAATAGCATGTGTATGTCCAAACCTGACTCTCGCCCTAGCCCTTCCTGACTGGTCTTACAGATGAGCTCATTCAGAAATTGAGGACTAACTTAATACTTCCAAACTGACCTGAGCTTAAGTTGCTTCTGTTTTTTTCTAGGTGTTCTCCTCCATACCCCCTGTTTTCTCCCCTCCACCACACACACACAAACTGAAATTTGGTTCTTGACTGATATGGTAAAATCAAAATTAATATTTATGTATACATTCTGAACCAAGCCAAAAAAAATCAATCGTTATTATATTCTTGTGTGTTCCACAGGACTAAGAGAATCACGTCAAGGCCAAAGGAGTGCCTAGAAATAATTTCCTACCATGTGAATCCCCAAATGTTTAAATTGAGAAAATGTGGCTCATTATTTAATTTTGATCTTTTCAGTTGAAAACAAAGAGAAGCAGCAAAGCCCGGGGGGGAAAGCCCTCACCACTCAGCATTGTTTCAGAGTTAGATCCTGAGTCTGTACACCACCAAGCTTTAAACATCGCCAGTAACTAGATGGCACCATTGTTTGTGCATGCCGGGCATTCTGACAAGTACCACCTACAATATCATTCCATGTACGCTCTCCTGTGAGCCATCACTACACTTGTATATTGTTTCATGCTGGCGATATTATCCACACTGTACCACATGCTTCATCAGCAATCATCACAGAGCACAAACTGACCTAGAGGGTCCAAGCCAAGTACTCATGACCTCTTGACACCACCAAAAGGTGTCATGAATTGAGACACATGATACATATTGGGACAACATGACATAAATGTATTTATGTCATAAAAGTATGGACATATTCCAAAATAACTTTTATAGTTTGTTATAGGGGCTGGAGAGGTGGCTTAATGGTTAAAATCACATACTGCCTTTGCAAAGTTCCTGAGTTCAATTCCCAGCTCCCACACCCACTGTAACTCCAGCTCCTGGGGTTCTGGTGCCCTCATGCACACATAAACCCACATAGACAAACATACAGACACACACACACACAGGCACACACACACCACACAGGCACACACACAGGCACACACACACAGGCACACACACACAGGCACACACACAGGCACACACACACAGGCACACACACAGGCACACACACAGGCACACACACACA